TATGTAGGAATGCTAGTCTACCGATGTCAGGATTCAGGATTTCTGGTTTTTCAAGAGGAACTAGAATTTTGGATTTTTATGCACTATCTCATTATTTATAAAATTTAACCTTCATACTAGCTTTATAAATGATTAATCCACTACCTTTACTGTATATTTACCTTTCCAGTGAGATTTATTCTTTCACATGTGTCCTTGTTACTAATTAGTACCCTTTCTTTTCAGCTTAAAGAATGTCCTTTAACATAACTTATAAGGCTGGTTTAGTGGTAATAAGCTCCTTTAGCTTTTGCTTGTCTGGAGAACTCTTTATCTCTCCCTTTCACTTCTGAATGATACCTTGCTGGGTAGAATATACTTGGTTGGACGGTTTTTCTTTCAGCACTTTGAATTTCCCTTCTGGTCTGCAAAGTTACTCTTGCAAAAACCTGCTGCTAGTCTTATGGGGGTTTCCCTGCATTTAAATTGTTTTCCTCTTGTTGCTTTTAATACTCTCTCTTGTCTTTAACCTTTGACATTTTAACTATAATGTGTCTTGGTGTAGTTCTCTTTTGGTTTCCCTTATTAGAAATTCTTTGGGCTTCCTGGATCTGGCTGTCTGTTTCCTTCCCCAGGTTAGGAGACTTTTCAGCCATTATTTCCTCAAATAAGTTTTCTTCCCCTTTCTTTCTCTTTTCTCCTTCTAGTAGCTCTATGATGCAAATGTTACTCTATTGGATATTGTCCCATAAGTCCCTTAAGCTATCTTTACTTTTTTCATTTTTTAAAATGTTTGCTGTTTTGATGGGTTGACTTCAAATATCTTCGAGGTGACTGATACTTCCTTCTGCTTCGTCTAGTGTGCTGTTGAGACCTCCTAGTGTATTTTTCAGTTCAATTGTTGTATTCTTCAGCTCTGTGACTTCTACTTGGTACTTTCTTATATTTCCCATCATTTTCTTGAAATTCTCATCATTTTCATTCATTCTTCTCCCTAGTTCAATGAGCATCTTTATCACTAAGACTTTGAGCTCTTTATCAGGTAAATTACTTATCTCCATTTCATTAATTTTTTTTAATGAGGTTTTATCTTTCATCTGGTCCATATTTATCTTTCTTCATTTTGCTCAAATTTCTGTGTGTTTTTATACAGTAGATGAAATAATCACCTCTCTCAGTCTTGAAGGAGTGGCAACATGTAGGAAATGAAACTTGTCTCTCAACCCTGCCTCAGCTCCTGGTTGTCTCTCAGACCTCTGTGCTCATCCGAGCAGCTTATTGTATCTTTAATAGCTCCCAGTAGTTGAGGATGTGGCATGACCTGTCAGTGTCCCAAGGGGAGGATCTCAGCACCTAGATGTAAGCTGACTGGAAGCCAGACCTTCAGGCATCAGCTTTTAAAAGTATATGATAAATACAATAATAAAAGTATGAAAAAAAAAACTTCCAGACAAACAAAGGTCCAGGACCAGACCACTTCACTGGTGAATTTTAGCAAACATTCAAAAAAGAATATAAAATTAAAATAAAAAGACATTTTGAAGTTACAGACCATGTTTAACCTTCTGTTACACCCTTTTGCAAAGAACAGTTGCAGATCCAATGATCATTGACAACTGGCAGGGCATTTCTTATTGTCTCCTGCAAGATTGATTGTTGAGTCCTCAGTGAGCTATAGCCTAAACACCATAATCCACATATTATACAAGAGCTGCTTCTCATTACTTGACCAGTAAGAGAGAATTACAGAGATAGTGGGCAGAACAAAGTAGAGATGAGGAAATATAAGCCCTGGGAAAGGGAGACCCTTGGATCCCAATAGTTTTCTAGTTCTTGGATTATTTTCCACTGAAGCTAGGGTGTATTTCCTGCACTAAGGTTTTATTATTTCTCCATGTCCTTTAATAACTTGCCCCTTTTAAAATATATAACAAATATATGGGGCAAAATACATATAAGAAAAATGTTAACCAAAAGAAATCTGGTATAGGGCTTCCCTGGTGGCGCAGTGGTTGAGAGTCCACCTGCCAATGCAGGGGATACGGATTCGTGCCCTGGTCCAGGAAGACCCCACATGCCGCGGAGCAGTTGGGCCCGTGAGCCATGGCCGCTGAGCCTGCGCATCCGGAGCCTGTGCTCCACAACGGGAGAGGCCACAACAGTGAGAGGCCCGTGTACCACAAAAAAATAAATAAATAAAAAGAAGTCTGGTATAATTATATTAAAATGAGTCCAAAAAATCTTTAAGACAAAAATGAAAATTACAAACAGTCTTTGAATAATGATTTAAAAATGTAACACAGAAAAATAAAAAGTTCTAAACGCTAAAGTCTAAATTAAAATATGGAGCTGGAGTCTTTCTGTGGTCCAGATGACAATGAATCACATATCTGTTAGCTAATAAGGAAAAGAAGGAGATTTAAGAAGGAAAAGAAGGAGGCTGACTTTGGTCCCCATTTAGTTGTGCACATTTGTTATGATGTGATATACTGTAGTTTTATATGTTCCAGGTCACATTGAGTTATGGATTATATTCTCTGAAAGAGTCAAAACTTTATAAAACTCATAAAACTTTGTAAGGAATGGGATGGTACCAGGTACCTAATAATATGGCTTCAGAATATATAAGCAAAATTTGACAGAAATAAAAGAGAATAATTGAGACTAACACATCATAATAAGATTTTCATACAACTCTCAGTATCTGATAGAACAAGTAGACAAAAACTAGTAAGACTCTAGAAAATATAAACAATTGGGTTAATACATCTGACCTGATTGTCATGTTTAGAATACTATACCCAACATCTTTAGTATTATTTCAAGTGCACACAAAACATGTACCAAAATGAATCACATGTTTAGCTGTAAAACAAATCTAAACAAATTTCATGGGATTGGAATCACACTTAGTTTGTTCTCCGAACAGAGTAGAATTCAATTGGAACTCAATAACAAAATCAATCAAACAAACAAGCAAATAAATAATATTAGGAGACCCCTTTACTAGTGGAAATTAAATACTGACTCCTAAGTTATAAATGGGTAAATAAAAAACAAAGTATGTTAAAATGAATGAAAATAAAAATAAGACAAATCAAAACTTGTGGAACACTGCTCAAACTATGATTCAATGAGACTTTACAGCCATATATACACAGAAGAGAAGAAAAACCGAAAATCCATTATCTAAACATCTATGCCAAGAAGTTAGAAAAGAATAGCAAATTAAACTTGGAAAGAAAAGTAGAAAGGAATAAAGATTAAGGAAGAAATTAAAGAAATGAAAAGTAAATATAAAATAGAAAGAATCAACCAAGCCAAAATCTGCTTTTTTAGAAAGAAAATGGAATTGATGAACCCCTGGCAAAACAGATCAGGAAACTAAGAAAGGAGCACAAAGTACCAATATGCAGAATGAAGATCAAGCACCACTATAAGTAAAAGATAATAGAAGAATATTATGAAGAACATTGTGGCAAAATTTGTTTTGTTTTGTTTTTTCTCTTCTGTTTTTTCTTTTTCATTGAGGTGACTTTGCTTTATAACATTATGTGTTTTGTGGGTACAACATTAAATTTGACTTCTGTATACACTACAGAGTTCTCACCACCAAAAATTTAGTTTCCATCCCTCACCATTAAGTTGATCCCTTTTATCCATTTCACCATATTCCCAACCTCTTCCCATCTGGAAACCACCACTTTGTTCTCTGTATCTACGTGGGTTTTTCTTAATGTTTTAATTTTTTTATATAATTTTTAAAGGTTACTTTCCATTTACAGTTATTACAAAATATTGGCTAAATTTCCTGTGTTGTACAATATGTCCTTGAGCCTATCTTATACCCAGTAATTTGTACTTCCCACTTCCCCGGCCCTGTATTGCCCCTCCTCCCTCCCCACTGGTAACCAATAGTTTGTTCTCTATATCTGTGAGTCTGCTTCATTTTTGTTATATTCACTAGTTTGTTGTGTTTTTTAGATTCCACTTATAAGTGATATCACACAGTATTTGTCTTTCTCTGTCTATATCACTTAGCATAATGCCCTCCAAGTCCATCCATGTTGCTGCAGATGTGTGGCAAAATTTTTTAAAAATTTAAACACAATGGATAAACTCTTGGAAAAATACATCTTACCAACTCTGAGTCCAATAGTTTTTTTGTTTTTTGGTTTTATTTTGCAGTGCGTGGGCCTCTCACTGCTGTGGTCTCTCCTGTTGCGGAGCACAGGCTCTGGACGCACAGGCTCAGCAGCCATGGCTCACGGGCCTAGCCGCTCTGCAGCATGTGGGATCTTTCCGGACCAGGGCACAAACCCATGTCCCCTGAATCGGCAGGCGGACTCTCAACCACTGCGCCACCAGGGAAGCCCCAACAGTTCTTTTTTTAAATTTTAATGTGTAATTAATAATTTTTCCACCAAAAAATCCCCAAAAAACAAAGACAACTTTGGACTCCAAATTACATTACCTGTGATTTCCACCAAATAATTAAGGAAGAAATAAGACCATTATTACATAAATTATTCCAGATAATAGAGAGGGAAATCACATGGCTTCTTTTTTTTTTTTTTCCTGGTACGCAGGCCTCTCACTGCTGTGGCCTCTCCCGTTGCGGAGCACAGGCTCCGGACATGCAGGCTCAGCGGCCATAGCTCATGGGCCTAGCCGCTCCGCAGCATATGGGATCTTCCCGGACCGGGGCACAAACCCATGTCCCCTGCATCGGCAGGTGGACTCTCAACCACTGCACCACCAGGGAAGCCCACATAGCTTCTTTTAATAATATATCATGGCAAGGTGGAAGTTGTTCCAAGAATGTGCAGATGGTACACATTCAAAGTTCAATCAATATCATTCACCACATGGAGGGAATAAAAGATAAAGCATTCGATAAAACTCAATATTCACAATAAAAAAATCATTGGCAACTAGGGATAGAAGTGAAGTCTTTTAATCTGATAAAGGGAGTGTAAACAAGCTGTTTTCCTATGATATTGGGAAGGGGATACAGATACCTGCTGTAGGGGAGGAGGATTCGCCACCCCCAAATAGGTCTCTCTGGCAAATTCATTATCTTAAGCTGGTTATTTCCTAGGAAACAGAAGACATGGGAAAAACTCTGAAAACTGAGTAGAAGTTATTCTTTTGTAAGAAACAATTGCATTTATAAGGGAAATCTCCATTTGTAAGGATGTCTCCCTGGATGTACCAGGGAGAGGAAGATCATCCTCAAAATCTCTAGATGGAGAAGACAAAGACTTAAATCTGCATAACGACCTTACCCCTGTTTACTATGCTCTTCCTGGTCACCATCCAGAACTGACTGTCCCCACCCTCAACACCCTCTTTTGTCTTTAGCTGAGGGTGGTATTTAAAGTGAGGGCTTCATAAACAGTGTCCTACTGTATAGCACAGAGAACTATATTCAATATCCTATGATAAACCATAATGAAAAAGAATATTTAAAAAAAAGAATGTATACATATATATAATTGAATCACTCTGCTGTACAGCAGTAATTAACACAACACTGTAAATCAACTATACTTCAATAAAAAATAATAAATAAACTGAGGGCTTCAGCCATTTTCACCTGAAGTGAGTTACTCAGTTCTCCTGGGTCTCTCCCGTGTATACATGTTATTAAAATTTTATTTGATTTTTTTCTGTTAATCTGTCTCATGCCAATTTAATTCTTAGATCAGCCAGAAGAACCTAGGAGGGTAGAGAAAAGTTTCTTTCTCTCCGACGCTACTATGCTATTATAACTTCTAATCATTATTGTAGTGGAGGCCTAGCCACTGCAGTAAAGAAAGAATAATAAATAAAAGGTGAAATAATATGACATGAAGGAATAAAGTTGTCATTATTTGTAAATGAAATGATTGTGTATGTAGAAAATCCAAAATAAAGACTATTTGTATTAAAAATAAAAAGGTCACTGTATACAAGATTAATTTAGAGGATCATTTAAATCCTATTTTCCAACAAGAAACAATTAGAAAGCAATTTTAATTGATAACTCTTTTTTTTTTTTTTTTTTCAGTACGCAGGCCTCTCACTGTTGTGGCCTCTCCCATTGTGGAGCACAGGCTCTGGACGCGCAGGCTCAGCGGCCATGGCTCACGGGCCCAGCTGCTCCGCGGCATGTGGGATCTTCCCGGACCGGGGCACAAACCCGTGTCCCCTGCGTCGGCAGGCGGACTCTCAACCACTGCGCCACCAGGGAAGCCCTAATTGATATCTTTGACTTAGACATTGAAGATTCCATATAATTCCTGCTATATTAGCTTCCTCTCTGTGATGGAGGAGATCATGAGATTGATGCTGTGAGTGCTGTTCATATTCCTTGATGTATTTAAGGTTTTATTCACTTAGCATATACTTTTTGTGTTGTTGAAAAGCACAGATATTTTTACTGAAGTGCTAATAAATGTTGAAATTTAATCAGTTAAAAAAAGGATACCCCTTTTAATAGCATTTAAAAAATCAAACACCTATTAAAAATTTAATGAAGGGTTTTTAAAACCTCTACAGAAAACAACAACAACTAAAGAAACCAAAGAAATCCTTCAAAAATGGAAAGATTGACTATTTCCTTAAACTGAAAATTTCAACATATTTAAGATGTTAATACTCCTCAAATTAATCTATAGGTCCAATGAAATTAATCTAAAGATCTCTTTAAAAGCTGTGATATTTTTAGGGGAAATTAACAAGCTAATACTAAAATTTACATATGAATAGGGACTAGAGAGCCCAACAGTCTGGAAGATCAGACTCCTGGATATGATGACTTGTACTACCTATTATCACGATAAAACCTCGGTAAATAAATCAAAGTGGGATTGTCTGAGGGACGGATGAATAGATCAGTGTAACAGAATTTAGAGTCCAAAACCAGACCCGTTCATGATAGTTGATTGATGACAAAAATGGCACAGTAGAATCACAGCTAAAGGATAGTTTTTCAATTAGTGGTTCTGAGTCAGTTGAACATCTATATAGAAAAATGCAAATTTTCCCCTATTATCATCTACAGAAAATCAATTCCAGGCTGATCATGATGGTAGAACAAAATATAAATGGTAACTAATAAAGCTTCTGGGATGTAATATAGGAAAATGCCTTCATGTGGCTGGGCTGGGAGAAGACATTGTAAGCTTTTAGCACTAACTATGAAAAAAGAGATGAGTAAATAGGACTTAATTATCACTAACCACAAAGAAATAGATGGATGAAATGGGAATTAATTAAAATTAGAAACTTCTGTTCATCAAAACATATAACTAAGAGAATAAAAAGGCAAGTCAGAGGATGGGTAAAGATTTTTGCAAAATAAATAACTTGTATCCACAAAGCACTTACATTTAGAAAACATAAACATTCTTACAAATCAATTTAACAAATAAACAAATAATACAATGGAAAAATGGACAAAATTTCTGCATGGTTATTTCACAAAAAGAGATTATGCAAAGGGCCAATAAACATATGAAGAAATGCACAACTTCACTAGTCAGTGTAGAAATACAAATTAAAACCACACCAAAATATTTTTTATTACACACCAGATTGCCTAAAATTATCCAGAATAACAATACCAAGTGTTGGTACATATATGGAGCAACTGGGTCTTTCACACATTGCTGGTAGAAATGTAAGATCATACAACCACTTTGGAAAACTGTTTGACAATTTCTTATAAAATTCAACCTATATTTACCATATAACCCAGCAATCATACTCCTAGAACTCAACAGAAATGAAGACGTGTATGCAACAAAAGATATGTTAAAAAATGGTTATAGCAGCATTATGTCATTATCCCGAATTTGAAGTGAGCCAAATGCCTATTGACATTAAAATGAATAAATAATTTGAGTTATATCCATATAAGCAAGCACTGCCTATGAATGAAGACAAATGACCTATCATTTCTTGCAACAAATTGGATGAATCAGATAAACATAAATTTGAAGAAAAGAAACTACTCACAAACGAGAACATGCTGTATTCTCTCTTTATATAAAGGTTGAAAACACAGATATCCCTTTATGAGAGACTGAAGGCATAGTTACTCTACTGAAGGGTCAAAAAGTAGCTTATGGGATGTGGGATTGCTCTATTTTGGGGCCTGGGTATGTTTATTTTGTGATAATTCATTGACTCATACGATTTATTCACTTAGTGGATGGCATACTTCAAAAAGTGTTCAAAAATGTATCTGTATAAATAAAATTATACACAGAATTGAGCCTAAAACTTTAAAATTGTGCTATTACAAGTTTTAAGCTAAGATTTTTAAAATAATGAGGAATATTCAATCTCATTATTACTAGAAATATTTTAATGTGTTCATTATTCATAACTAAAACAAATAATATATAATGATAGCAGCAATACATAATAAAACAGCATAGCAAATATAAAATAATGGTTTAAATATTTATATCATCTTTTTTCAGTTTTTACATTTCTAGTTTGTTTGAGCTTTATAATGTACAATCTATCTTACTGTAGCAGGTCATATATTTAATTTATAAATATGTAAGTATACTTATAGTATACACATGTAAGTATAGGTACATGATAACAAATTTTTTACTTCTAGGATTGCATAATTAATGACACATGGACACCAGTGATTTAACTGATTAACAATGACACCCAGAGTGATAAGCTAACAGCCAGCTGAGAATAAGGACATCCTTGCAGGTTTATCACCTTGAGGAGTTTGCAGGAGAGCAGTTTAAGAATATTTGTAAGAAACCAATCATCTTAAATTAAAATCTTATTCATTTACTCAACTAGTAAGTGTTCTATTGGTTTCAGAGGTAATATCATGTTATTGAAAGGATCCGTAAAGTCAATAAGACTCAAATTTATCTACTGATTGTCTGACCTCTTTTGAGTTTTTCTTCTCCTTATATCTTGATATAAGAAAATATGACATGACCATCCCTAATTATTAATATTGAGAAAAGTAAATTAAACATTATACCTGAAAGTTCGTAGCACATGGCTGGCAAATAACAGTTGATCAATAAATGGTAATTCTTTTGTCCAGCCTTTCCCTTGTTATTCTGAATTATTGTCACCCAGGTTGCTAGGGGATGTTTGCATGAACTCTGCCAAGGGTGGGTATGGAAGTATAATTCTCAACATCCAGAACATGCAAGGAATTTCCCCATCATCACCCCCTCCAAATATAAATAACATTCCCTGGCTATTTACATACAAGAGCACACATTAACTTGGACACTTTTAATATAAGTACCAATTTTTGGATTCTTATACTCGGGTTAATTCAGAGACACAGATTTACACTATGCAATATATTTTCAAATTTCCTCCTATTTACAGTAGTGTCCATGAGATCTGTGACTGAAATTGCTGTTTCCCAACTACTGTTGACATTTTGGATATGGAAAATATTGGGATACTCTACTGCCAACTTGCATCACTTTTTCTTCAATAATGACATATAAACCTAAAAAATCACATCATGGTGATAGTTGAACAAAGGACCCCATTGTCTTGTGCTTTACATCCACTTCCTGCCCATTTCCTGTCTGCTGAATTTAATCTGCCTGTAAACTCCACGCCTTGAAGAAGCCAATACATCTTGCCAAATTATTCGCCAGCGTCAATTCTCTATTCAAATTGCCTTTTCATCCTTCTTAAATTTTACAAAAGGAGTTTGGCTTCTTTCTGTTTCAATTTCCCCCTCGCTTTACCATTCAATTCTTGCATTTGACAGCCCTGGAGTAGGTCTGGATTAATACCAATACGAGATGCCCGTGTTCTCTGAGCCTACTGTTCTCAACTGTGAAATTCCATGTTTTTTTTCAAAAAGGAAATAGAACATGTATAGCTGATCCAATGACATATAACAAATTACATAGATAAATGAAAAATTAAGCTACCTTATTTCAAATAATAAGCCACCTTTCTCTGGTAATAGTAATACTTTGATGTATTCAACATATTTTAGTTGAAGTGAGCCAAAGGTGAAATTTGCCTGGCATAGGAAGTCATCCCTCCATCCCCAAATAGCAATATTTCTTAGACTTACTTTATGAATCATAACTCAATGGCTTATGAGGAAGGCCATGAGGATTATCATGGCCTGAGCCCATCCACCTGCTGGGATGTTGGTGGGAAGAGACTACACTCTCCCTTAGCCTCAAAAGGCTCCCTGGCTGCTTCTGGAAGCTTTCCGTGGCATTGTGTGATGGGCACTCAGAGCCTTTATGTTCCTGCTCCCTGCCTTCCTCATGTACCATCTAGCAATTTTCTCTTTGCCCAAAATTTCTCTTAGAATAACCCTATGCTCTAATATCAGCCCCCTCTGCTGGTTGAGGCTACCCCTGGAAGTCTGAGAAACAGTCACCCCCATATCTCTTTGTCCAAGTGTGTACATCGGCCCTATTCTTTTTTTTTGGCGGTATGCGGGCCTCTCACTGTTGTGGCCTCTCTCGTTGCAGAGCACAGGCTCCGGACGCGCAGGCTCAGCGGCCATGGCTCACGGGCCCAGCCGCTCTGCGGCACGTGGGATCTTCCCGGACCCGGGCATGAACTCGTGTCCCCTGCATTGGCAGGCGGACTCTCAACCACTGTGCCACCAGGGAAGTCCTGGCCCTATTCTGATTCCTTGGAACATACCAGAGGCCAAGCTTAACTTTTAACAAGGTGTCCCTTAAGTTTGTGCATGACCACAGATGAACTGATGGCAGCAACACAAGCGTAGCTCCATCTAAAATCTCAATGTGGCTGGCCACAGGCTTCTTACTGTCTACACTTACCAAGCCCATTTCAGCCTTCTCTAAGTTCTAGAGTCACAGCCAAACAAACTAATTTTGATTTTTAGAGAGAGGACGGTTCTCTTACATCCTTCTTTAAAATCTGCATAATGGGCTGAATGGTGATCCCCAAAAAAGAGAGGTCTGTGTCCTAATTCCCTAGAACCTAGTTATATGGCAGAAGATGTGATTATACTAAAGCTCTTGAGAGGGTTAGCTTATGCTTCATTATCTGGGTGGACCCTAAATGTAATCACATGTATCTCCATAAGAGAGAGTTTTGAGACAGACACACAGAGGAGAAAACACACAAAAGAGGAGGCAATGTGACCCCAGAGGCAGAGATTGGAGTGATGTGGCCTCAAACCAAGGAATGCCAACAACACTAGAAACTAGAAGAGACAAGGAATAGAATCTCTCCTAGAACCCCTGAAGGGAGACGGCCCAGCCAACATCTTGATCTCATACCTCTGGCCTCCAGAACTGTGACAGAATACATTTCTGTAGTTTTAAGCCACCAAGGTTATGGTCATTTGTTATAGCAGTCCTAGGAAATAAACACAATCTACCTTGCTAAGTTTTCATTCTTTCCCCAAGATTCACCCCTCTATTTCAGGGGCAGAGTTCAACAAACTCTAGAAATAGGCTGGTTAACTTCTTATAAACTGAAATTATTTAACTGGACCTTGAATTGGTGTGGTCAGGGCCCAGACTGTCAGAGTCTTTCAAAATAGTAAAATGTTAGATATTGTTTCCTTTAGTTAGAAAACAATAAAATAAGGTTCTGTGCAGGCAGTTATAGGAGTTTCTCTGCCTCAGCCATGTGCAAAACCCATGTGCTGGGCCACCACTACATGTCTGGCACCTGCAGAGAAGCCAAAGGCCAACTTCTGTGAGAGAACAGAAGGCCTGGGATCTTCCTAAAGCCTCGTCTGCCCCTTCATCCCTCAAAGAGCCAGGGGTTGGTATTGTTCTAAATGAAACTCAGCTCTCCTCCCATTCTCTCCATGATTCCATGCTCCCCAATATCACTTAAACTGACCAACATTTATGTCAGAGGAAGAGAAGATCAGAGAAATAAATGTTACTCAAAACAAAATGATCCACTTGCATGTAGAAAAGAAAAAATTTACACAAAGCAAAAACAAAAGACCCAGGTGTGCATTAACCTTTCATGAACTTATGATTAAAAGAGAATGAAATGTTACTTCTTACAGATTTTATACACAGTGGAAAGGGAGAGTAAAAGGCTTTACATGGGTGATTGATTACCAGGAAAATTGATTAAGAAAATGTCAATTCCCTCCCAGAAAAACCCAACCCCAGTGGCTCTGACAAGAGACTCAGAAAATAGCTCACCTTTTGTATATTTCCTCAAGTCTTGGTTTCCCAGCCCTATTTGTTGCCCTTTATTGAATATCACTGGTGTTAGCACCTAAACAGAATTTCCAAACTCACCCCCTCCAGGTCTAAGATTTCATACTTTGCAAATCTGAATTGGAAGCATCAGGGTGTACTAGAAAGGGTGAGGCAGATACAAGTTCAAGTTTAGATTTAGCCACTTCTTAGACAGGAGAGCTTAGGAAAGTTATTGGTTATTCACCTTTTCTAATACACATTTGTTTAATCTACTAAGACAGGAAACTGACATATCACAGAATTGCTGTAAGAAATCAATACAAAGAAAGATATTTGTGAGGCCACTTTCCTTCCATGTAAGTGCCTACATCACGGTATGAACATTATACCCTGCATTGTACCATCCATGAACAATAAGTATTATTAGGGCATAGTAATTACAGGTGATTCTTCTTATAGACCAGGGCTACAGTAACTATTTCAAGCTTTGTAGGCCATGTGGTCTCTGACACAACCACACAACATGGCTCTTGTAGCGTGAAAGCAGACTAAATGAATGAAGTGTAGCTGTGTTACAATAAAACTTTATTTAAAAAGTAAGTTGTGTCTCAGTGCCTTTGGGCCACCATAACAAAATATCACAGACTGAATAGCTTATAAACAACAGACATTTATTTCTCACAGTTTTGGAGGCTGGAAGACTGAGATCAAGGTGCCAGCATGGTCGCATTTTGGTTAGAGCCCCCTTCCTGGTTCCCAGCTGGTACCTTCTCACTATGTCCTCACACAGTGGAAGGGACAAGGGATCTCTCTGGAGCTTTGTTTATATGAGCACTAATCTCATTCCTGAGGGCTCTGCCCAGATGATCTCATTGCCTCCCAAAGATACCATATCTTAATACATTACCTTTGAGGGTTAGGGTTCAACGTAAGAATTTAGGGGGGACACAAACAAGTGACATCCTACATTTGGTTTGTGGGGCATAGTTTGCTGGCCTTTTGTATAGACTTCCTCTGATCATAGCAATAGGGAATATTTAGTTGGAAAATATAACTGTCCCATATGGGGTCAACCTAAAACATTAAGCAATAATTCCTGAATCCCAAGTTCTCATTAATGATTCCCTACAAGGATGAATTTACTCATAATTTAAGCTATTGTATACTTACTGGTACTACTTAAAGATAACAAGTTAGGATTTTATCATTTAATACATGCTTTGTTCATTCTTCCATTTGTTACTAAAACTGCCTTTTTCAACTTTCAAAGCATCTTGCTTGATTTTAGTACCCTTACTAATCATAAACATAATACCTGTTTGACATTATCTTTCTAAATGACAGCCTTTTTAAAAACATAAAATGTGATAGGTACCTTGTGAACATTCAAATACCTTTCCAGGGCAGGTAGTCCTGGAAAAAACACCCTAGTTTTTTGAACTCACCCCGTTTTAAAAAAATTTTTTTTGAGAATAACAGGCATATAGTAAATTCAATGATCTTAAGTCTAAATTGATTTATACATATGCATACACCTTTGCAACCACCATCCCCAGAACAAGATCTACAATATTTCCAGCCCTCCTGACAGACGTGTCCCCTGTGCCTTCCCAGTTAGTACCACCTAAAGGGTAACCATTATTCTTTTAAAGGTTTTTAATACTTCAAGCAAATCCTATTACCAAATGCTTTCTTGCCTTTTTATTTTCTAAAAGTAGTAGATAAATTGATCAGGCATAGTTTTCTCTAATTAAAAAAAATCTGTCTCACCCCAAATGTTCTGTTCAATTAAACATTTGATGAAGCAGCCTTTTTGCAGAAAACCCACCAGCTTACCAGGTATGCAAACGAGGTTCATTCTCTGTTATTGCCAGGGTCATTCTCCTTGGAAAGGCTTCTCATGGATGGAAGACATGTTGTCAGGACCCCAGTTCATAATCCAGCACGTACCATCAGCCCAGTGATTTCACATTTCTGTCAAGAGTATTCCAGTTTTGCCCTTGAACTACTGTGGCTTCTTAACAGATATGTTTCTGAGCAATTTATGCAAATTGAATTTGATGTCTTCTCAAAATGAAGTATTTATAACAAAACCTGAATGTAAAAATGTTTAAAGCAAAGAAACTGCAGCTGGAAGGCAGGAATTTAATGGCAAATTTTTATGAAACATGAGAAAAATTTAAAGGAACTCTTTAACTGTCAGTATCCTCATATATCCAATTTATTTTTAAGCAAACTGTACCTATAGGGTGGATGGTAAAAAAATCATGTTCAGAATCCTTACACACCACTTTAAAAGGGCACTAGTTTGTGTTAGGAAAAGCACTTAAAATTTTATTCAAGGTGGTGAAACTTAACCCCTATACTAAAGATTTAGAATTTAACCAAAATAGTGTGGATATGCTACACTAATTACCTGGACAGAGGTATTTAATGATGGCTAAAGTTGATTGGAATCTAGCAATGTATGTATCTATTTATAAATATACTAATTCACTTGGCTATAGATGCTTAACGAACCACCCCAAAATATAGTGGCTTAAAATAGATATCGTCAATTAGCTCACAATTCTCTGGATCAACTGTGTATTTCTGCTGATTTGGCAGGGATTGGCCGATCATAGTTGGGCTTACCCATGTTCCTATAGTCAGTTGGAGTCTATCTGAGGACTCCCTGGTCTAGGAAGTCTCAGCCTCATGGTTGATTTCTGCTTCACATGGTCTCTTACCTTCCAGCAAGCCAATCTAGGCCTCTCTCTCATGCAGCTCTCCTAGAGAGAGCAGAATTATGCAAGGTCTCTCGAAGCTTAGGTGCAGAACTTGCTTCACTGTCACTTTTACCACATTCTATTGTCCAAACAAATAAGAAATCTGACTCTGATTCAATACGTGGGGATATAGACTCTTCCTGATGGAAGGAACTGTAAAGTCATATTGTAAAGGAGTGGAAGGGTAAAGGATTGTGGGTATTTTTTTCAATGATTCTCCCAAACATGTATATATGCATGGATATATGTGTATGCTGAAATATTTATATAAGTATATTAAATAATAAAAGTTTTCCACAAATGGTGCCATTATATATTGACTATGTATAATCATTTTCTCCAAAGATAAGTTTTCAAACACACATTTAAGTTTCACTGTTTCACATGTTGAGGCCACATTCCCAAAACTGACCTGCCTGAAAGGAAATTAAAACTAAATGATTTGGACTTCCATTTCTGGCCAAGCTGGAGTAATCAGGGCCAGATTTATGCTACCACCTGAAACCACCAGAAAACAGACAAAATATATGAAACATATGTCAAGAAACTGAGTATTAGGCAATAAATGAACAGGGATCCTCAAAAGACAGGAAACAAACATGGCCAGACCTACAATTTTCCCAGCTAACTACCTGGAGAGTTTCCACTCCATGGTGCATGGAAGGGGTACACAGGATGAGACCAGTAGGCTCTGTGCTGTGAAAACAGAGAAGACAGTCTTGGGAGACCAATGCAATCAAAGTTCATTGGACACAGAACCAGAGAGAAGAGAACTGAATATAGAAAGAACTCAAGAAATAAGCAGAAGGTTCCACTTGGGTTTTTAGCTGAGTACTGATCAGTGCATATGTGTGAGGAAACATCTAGAGATGAAAGCTACAATGTCTCAGAAAATTACACTGATGTGTTAGGTAGTTAGTCAGACATTAGCAGCAAGGAGGCCACAGTGGCAAAAGACAAGAGGGGAGTAGTCAAGTTACACCCACTCGTCTGGGGACCCTTCCCTGACCCCACCCAGAATGGGCAAAACTATGGTCATGTGGTGGGCAATTTATCCTGATAAAGAGGGAACACAGTAACACTAGGGAACTTCCCTGGGCTGAGCATGCCCAGACCAGACAGGTGTATAACCTATAGTAAACCCAAACTCATTATACCATCACTATAATAAAATATGCATATGGTTTGGCAAACCGCCCCCCCCCGCCGCCGCTGACCCCGGGCTGTTCTTAGCGAATCAAGGGTAAGGGCATGCGCAATAATGAACTTGTTACATAGATGGGGACTGTCAATCAAATAATGATACCCCTGTCACTCACTCATGATTGCGCCCCGCCTTCTCCCAGAACTCTCCTTATAAACACCTTTAAGCCTGTACAGGAGAGTTGGTTTCACTTAGTAGAAACAGCCCACTTTCCCTCTGAGAGTGTAACTATACTTTAATAAAACTTTGCTTTGCACTTAAGCCCAAAGTGGTAGCCTGCAATTCTTTGCTTGCTCTCACAAGGACCGAGATTGCTGGTCCGGCATTGACCTCCTCTGTTGGAGCTATTCTGACACAACACACACCAACCTGGTAACAGATGGAATTAATGGCAGATTAAATATGCAGAAAAAAATTAGTAAACTTAAACACATAGACATAGAAGTGATGTAAAATGCAACAGAATAAAAAGAGAACAATAGGGACTTCCCTGGTGGTGAGTGGTTAAGAATCTACTTGCCAACACAGGGGACATGGGTGCGAGCCCTGCTCGGGGAAGATCCCACATGCCATGGAGCAACTAAGCCCGTGCGCCACAACTACTGAGTCTGCGAGCCACAACTACTGAGCCCTCACACCTAGAGCCCATGCTCCGCAACAAGAGAAGCCACCACAATGAGAAGCCCACACACTGCAACAAGGAGTAGGCCCCACTCACAGCAACTAGAGAAAACCCATGCACAACAACGAAGACCCAACACAGCCAAAAATAAATAAATTAATTAATTATTTTTTTTAAAAAAGAGAGAACAACAGCAACAAAGCAGAACATCAATGGGCCATGGGACATCTTCAAATGGCCTAATATATGTGTGAGGGACATGCACAGAGAGAGGAGAAAGGGGGAGACAGAAAGAAATAGTCAAGCAGTAATGGCTGAAAATTTTCCAGATTTGATGAAAACCTGCAGATATGAGTAGCTCAAAGAATCCAAGCCCAATAAACTAGAAGTAAATGACATCAAGGTATATTATAATCAAAATACTCAAACTCAGTGATACAAAGAAAATGTTAAAAGCATCCAGAAAAAAGGACATATTATGTATAGTGGAACAAAGATAAGGATGATATGAATACACAAAAAGGATAACACATCATAACATGTCAAAACTTATCAACTTCCAATATGTGCAGTTTATTATATGTCAATCATACCTCAGTAAAGCCATTTGAAAAAAGGAAATGATGTTCTCCTGATATAATTTCCATCTTCTATTTGGGAATTTTGCCTTCAGACACACTGCTGAACAATGTCTATATGAATGATTACACTATGAATTGTAAATATTGACCAAAAATATTCAATAGTTTTGCAATTCAGAGATGCACTAAGGGTAATTCTCTACTTCAAATTTTCCTTTTTAAATATTTTGAATTCCTTTTAAAATGGTTAAAGAAAACCACATATATTAAAATAAACTAAATATACTGAGGATTGGGACTTCCCTGGTGGCTCAGTGGTTAAGAATCCGCCTGCCAATGCAGGGAACATGAGTTCGATCCTTGATCCAGGAAGATCCCACATGCTGCAGAGCAACTAAGCCTGTGTGCCACAACTACTGAGCCTGCACTCTAGAGCTCATGAACCACAACTACTGAGCCCGTGTGCCACAACTACTGAACCTTGCACACCTAGAGCCCGGGCTCCACAACAAGAGAAGCCACTGCAGTGAGAAGCCCATGCACTGCAACGAAGAGTAGCCTCCGCTCACCGCAGTTAGAGAAAGCCCGCACACAGCAACGAAGACCCAATGCAGCCTATATATATATATAATATATATTATATATATATTATATATATATATATATATATACTGAGGATTACTGATATTTTAATTTATGCTGGTGGCAACTCATTTTTGTGCAACTCTCCAAATAAAAGTCCTCCTGCTGTCTCAGTTTAATTAAAGTGTGGCCTGAGTTTGTGAAGGCTCCCCATGTATTTGTACTTGGTGTAAACATGTTGTGGATCTGAAAGGTTGCTGTTCTGTACTGACCTTTCGTGACTTCAGGCCTGTGCATGTTCATCTACTTAAAACTGTACAAGTAAGTTCAAATCTACAGAACAAGGACACCATGCTCTATTAAATACAAGTAAGACCCAGGCATATCAGTCTAGCATAATGTGATCCATCAGAGTAGAAATATATTATGCAAAATTTTGTATTCCTTATGTATTTAATGTGGTTCTTATCTATTTTATTTTTAGTATACTTTTTTGTTGTTGGGATAAAACAATAATTATTTAAGCCATAATTGGATCACTGATTAAAAACAATATTTGAAATGAAAATTTGATGATGTAACTGGCATGATCAAAAATGCTCAGGATGGAGGTACAAATCATGCTCTATTAGCACCAGGTGGATTCTTGAGCTGATGCTAATCACAGTGAAAACAATACATAAAAGCAAATGTTAAAAAAAAAAAAACTTATGCAGTGACTTTTAACTAAAAAAATAATTGAAACTATAATGTAAGGAGTATGAACTTATCAACATATTTTTAAAACTTTTTAAAAATTAAATTTAATGACACCAAGCCGTGTTGGTGAGTTTTACCATATTTTCTATGGCTTCCTTGGCTACACTCTACTGCCCTCAGTGCTGGTCTCCATCCCAAGTCTGGGCACTGCGTTCAAGCTCACCTGCTCACAACCTTGACCAAAGGGGACCCCCTAGATTCTGATCCTCAGAACTTGAGGCTTCATGACAATCACCCAGGCATGTTCTTGACAGTCTGAGAAGGCCAGAGTCTCACCCCCAGCCTTTGCTCTGGAGTCTCTCATCTTTTAAGACAATCTAGCTCTAGGACCCACAAGAGCTAAACTTTCCAAAACAGAACTGTCAATTCTCCCCTGGAGCCAGAGGAACTCAAACAACAGGAAGCAGAGTCTTCCTTGCTACTTGCAGGTCCATGTTCCCCCATGCTCTCTGTGTGAAGTGTCTGCTTGTTCAAGCCGGCTGGCGAGGCTACAGTGAC